GGTTTATATAATTCAACAAGTCTGTGTTCTGTTTGTGTTAAGTTTGCACAGGTTTCAAGATATAAGTTTTTCTTTAGACAGAAATAACAAGTTTTTTCTAAATCAAGATATTTTTTCTTAAGTCGTGCCAAGTCTATAAATCTTGTTATCGTATCAGGATTAGCATGTTTTTCAATTCTGTAGACAAATAAGACAGTACAATTAATCATGTTACTTGAATTGAAGAAATTCAAAGACCCTAGACTAAAAAAATGAAAGAGAGAGCAAACCAGGGAGTAAAACCATGTAGCACCCGGAGATGGTACCTCAGGCATTCTAGCTTGTACGTGGCCATTGATAGTTAAAATATAAAATGAGATTAGTTATGTATTTTCTACTATTACACTTAGTCCACAATTATGTACTTAGTCCATTTGAGTCCTGGTGAACTGTCCAAAGTGCTATCAGTTTGTAAAAGGTTTCACAAGTTCAGTGAGGTCTTATACATGATTGTAATAGAAATTGGGTTTATGTAATGAAATTTGTTCCTTCACTTTATTTCTCTTCTTCGCTGTTTATTATTCTGTCAATTCCACTTCTGGCGAATTACACTGATCCTGGTTAGTGTAACAGTTGGTATCAGACCCATCGATTCCTTCCGGACTCTCTGCTAGACTTAAAAGTTTGGATGAAGGACGGAAGAAGGTGGAGGCACAACTCTCCCAGGTTCAGAGGTCGGAGAGATTGGAGAAGCCTTAGTATGAGAATCCTGAATTTCAAGTGACTGCACAAGAGATCACAGAAATTCATTGGATGATGAAGCATTTGATGAGCCAAGCAGACCTCATTCATCGAACTGAGGAAATGAATGCCTCAATGTCATACACAGCTGTAATGTTGCAAGGCAACACCTCCTTTAGTTCCTCTAATAGTAAGGAAAATCCATCTACTGTTGGTCCTATGTCTGTCTACTTCTACTGTTCTACGGCACACAAGTTCCCTCAACTAGTAAAAGAGTGGTACTTCCAACTGTTCCTGCATCCATTTAACCCCAAGGGGAAGGTCAACAAACACCTACTATACCTTTTCCACAACCTAATTTCTCAACTGTACACTTTCCTTCGCAACCTCAGTTCCAATACCATCGCCTATACCCAATATTCCTTTTGATACTTTAATTAACTTTTCAATGGCCATAGTGCTAAACTCGATTTCCCTGAATTCAATAAATGCAATCCTAGAGATAGTGGTAAGGTCTGCGTCCCCAGTGAGATTTGTTGTACTTGAGCCGAGAGTCTATCTCCTGAAGGAGCTAAATGTGAAGACTACAATTTGTGAAGTTTTAATTTCCAACTTCTCGGGAGTAGAGTCTAATGTTTCAAAAGGAACTGGGATGTAACATCCAGAGATGGTACTTCAAGCATTTAGGTTTGTACGTATCCATTAACCATTAAAATATGAAATGAGAGTAGTCAAATATTTTCTATTAGTATCCAAAACTAGCTCCTTAGTCCATTTGAGTCCTGGTAAGCTGTCCAAATTGCTATTAGCTTGTTAGGAGGAGCTTATACACATGATTGTAATTACGGGGTCTACGCGATAAAACTTTTCCCTGTCCTGTTTATTACTCTTTCATTTCCATCCCGGACAGTGTAACAAACCAATCAGTTCACTTAAACTCAATAAATTCAAATACATCAGACCACGAAACCAAACAAGCAGTACAATTCACACAACACCACACTAAAAAAGGTGAAAAAACTGCAAACCCACATGCCAAAATCAAAAACTGAACTTGCAAGTGACTGATCAAAGTCAACGAGCAAAGCAATTCAGCATACACATAAGGAATTACGTAAAACTAAGAGTGAAAACTGAAGCTTACAGGTCAATAACGGAAACCCATTTGAGGGTAGCATAAACTGAATCGGGATCATCCGACTTGTACGATTCTTTAACTGATTTCAGTACTTTAGCAAAGGATTGTTTCTCCTTTTTCGTCTCTTCTGCCACCGGCGGCGGCAACCAAGCGTTATACAAGTGCATTTCTACTGATGTTTACAGTATCTGATAACTGAATTGAATTCTGTTTACAATGGAGAAATGTAAAATGTGAAAAACCCCTCTCCTTCAGCTGGGATATTTATAGCGAGGGTCTTCCTTTCTTTCTTCCCAAGACAAATTTTGACCAAAACCCAAAGTACCAAATTTGGAGTTTGGCTCAAGTCATTTAATTTGAGCTAATATTAGCCGAGACGGAGTTATAATTTTGAATTTAATGATATAGAATTGGATATTTAGAATTTATTATAAAGTTGTTGAATTTTGTCGAATTTGTAATTGAATTAGTGCAATTCTTACCATTATTTTTTTCCAATTGTATCTTTTTTATATGATTATAATATTCGAATCAAATTATGTGTATTGCGACTAATATTATGAAGATTTTGTTTACTAAGCTTTTATGGATGGAAAACATCACCTATTGTGTTTGTTTTTAGAGTAATTTTTTCTAAAATCTCATTATTTAAAAAAAAAATCGCTTTATTAATCAATAAATCTGCACCTTATTCTTATAAACTAATTTCTCAATCATTTATTTGCTACTCAGTAAGAAAAGTACCCTTAATCCTTGGTGTCATGACATGATATTTAAGATGTTAGTTGAGGCGGGCCATGGATTTGGAGACAGCGGGGTATTATTATTAGCTAACTTATTTTGGGTGTTTTTAAGATAAAATATATATTTTAAGTATTTTTGAAATATTTAAACGATATACAAAAATTATTTTTAAGCATTCATTATAAGTCAAAATAATAAAAATAAATCAAATGTTATAAGTTAAGATTTTGAACTTATGTCTCTTGAATTATAAGTCATAAGATAAGATATAGGTTCATCCAAACATACTTTAAGAACAGATGTACATTAGTTAAAGCATGTCACACAATATTGTTCATCTAATGAATTTATTAAACACGCATAATATACTAACATATAACTATAAATTAAATGACATTAATTAGTAATGCTTACTATGTTCGGGTGATGGTTGTATACACCACTTTTCACCCATCCAAATCCTTCAAATCAAGGAGGAGAGTTAAGGGGTGATTTCGACCATTGCACCTAACTTGTTTTTGCGTCTTAGCATGCGTAATAAAATATATGTTTATATCTAAAATTAAAGAATGCACGTGATTCATTTATCACCACGTGGATCCGTCTCTAGTTGAGTAACTAAACCATAAAATACACTTGGCACATATGTGATGAGTTGGATCCGAGTCGGATGAAAGCCACAAGAAACTATGATGCATGCCACGTGTAAATGTATGCAGTATTTTTATTGATTTCCAAATATAGACATTTGCCACTTTTTTGAACTTTTATCCTAAGTCTTAAATTCGATGCGCATTAATATAAACATCAGAATATCACCAAAAAGATTTCCCATTAGCCTTTTTTGCTTTACAATTCTCCTCCAAGTTGCAATATCTGTGTACTCAAAAACTGTGAATTACGTTATGATCATAAAAAAAAAAATGAAATAGAATAATTTTTATTATTCGAATATCAATATTCGTCATAAAAAAATTTTAATTTAATTTGAAAACGTATTATAAATTTAGAAAATAGTTTTTTCAACTTTCTTTTACTTTTGAAGGCATTAACGAAATTTATGAGGAATAAGTACGTCCATAGGTGGCCAGTGGGTGTTAATAATGAAGATGATTCGTCTAAATTTATTCTTAAACTTTGCAAAATGATTCAAACTTACTTTTGAACTATGTATTTAGGTAGACATTAGTCAATAATTGACTATTAGCCGACAAAGACAAATCTAACCTTATTTTCCTTTGAAATAAGAAGAGATAAATGGTTAAATCACGAGAAAAAGTCCAAAATAGTCCTTTATTTTTGAATTAAGACGCAAAGTTATTCTTTAATTTTCATATGAAGCACTAATAGTCCTTCATATTTGTAATACTGATGTATTTTTGGTCCTCCTTCAAATTTTTGTCCAAAATAGTCCTTTATTTTTTTATTAAGACTCAAAGTTATTCTTTAGTTTTTAAATGAAGCAGTTATAGTCCTTCATATTTGCAATACTGGTGCATTTTGGTCCTCCCTCAAACTTTTGTCTATATTGATTTTGTCCACTATTTTATGTATGAAATGTTCAATATTCTTTTTATATATTTAATAGAAATAATAACTTCATGTGAGAGAAGGTAAGAAGAGGAGCAACTTATTATGTTCGGTAGAAATATTATTGCAGCTAAACTAAGAATGCATTTACATATGCCGCAAGAAAAGAAAAATTTGTACTATTACAGGTGAAAAGGACAGGATGAACCTCTCGATTTTAGATGCAATAATATTTCTATTAAACAAAACAAGGTATTCCTCTTCTCACCTCCTCTCACATATAGTTATTATTATTTCTACTAAATGTACAAAAAGACATTGGAACATTCCATACACAAATTGTGGATAAAATCAATATTGAAAAATAGGCAAAAGTTTGAAAGAGGACCAAAAGTGCAGCAATATTATAAATATGAGGGACTATTACTACTACATATGAAAATTCAAAGATAACTTTGAGTCTTAACCCAAAAATAAAGGACAATTTTGGATTTTTTCTCATTAAATCATACACAAAAAAGTATCACGTTTTAATGAGTTTTCTATCTGAACTATTGAGTTTCATTTTTTTCTATATGAACTATTTTATCAAAACATACGTACATTAGGGAATTAATATAATAATTCATCAGTCCACTTTGACTTGTACGCTATATTGTAAATTATTGTATTCTCGTTTATCTTTTTCCATGATCCGACCGTTGGGGTTTCCACCAATGGAGAACAGAAAAAGTGACCGTTGCAAAACTCAGTTTAAATATCTGGTTATCCCTTCTATTTCGGATATCAAAAGCTATCACAATCTACTCTTAAGCTAACTGCAATTTCGTCTAAAGCTCACTAATCTCTTTTTAAGCTTTCTTAATTCATCTTATTGCTAGTATTTCTGTTTAGCTGTTCTTTCATTTCAGTGTTTCATTAATGGCAGAATCAAAGGATTGTCATGTTATCGTTGAAATTCCGGTTGATGAAGAGCATCAGCTTAAACTTTCTTCAGCCATTACTACCATAACTGCAATTCAAAACCATCCATTAATGGAAATCTCAAAAAGTCCAGGGCATCTCTTGCTTCTCAAGCTTTGGCAAAGAGAAGAGGATCTCTCTGGCCGTAGAATTGCGGCCAAAGAGACACGAATGGACAGTATTAGGAGAGAAATATTTCAGATCTGTTGTTTTTTCTTTATATTTCATGCTCTGTTTTTTATGATTCTGTTCACCTCTGTTTCTGAGGACCACCTTGATGGTAATGTTGTGTGTCAAAAATGGTGGATTCCTTCGATTCTATCAGTTTGTACTTCGTTTTGTATTGTGTTTTTGGTGCAGGTGAAACTTTACAGGTTTTGGAAGGTGTCGAGGCAATTGCAGAGGGAGAGAGGGGATGGTAGAGCACTGACAAGGTGCATTTCGGAGTTGAGGATGAAAGGGGCGAGTTTTGATCTGTCGAAAGAGCCACAGATTGGGAAGAAGATGAAGAGCTCTAGTGTGGAGATCAAATGGAAGCCATTAACTTGGTTATCTCAGTATGCTGTAACTATTTGTCTCATTTGTTTTACAGGATTGCTCTTCCCTGCTTCCAAGCTCGTCCTTTGCGCTTGATCTTTTTCGTCTTCAATCTCTGTTCATACACAAATCAGCAAATTTGGAATCTGGAAAGAGTCGTTCTTGCAGACATCAAAGTCGAGGCATTCGTACATGAATAGAAATGGTAAATGATTATTCTCAGATTGATTAAAGTTTACCTTCTTCAGTAACCAATTTGTGATCTCATTTCTATTTCACCTTTTTCAGGGAATACACAGTCTCAAACCTGATGTTTCCCACATAGAGCCGACTGGCCGGAAAAAGAACCCAAAAGCAACAGGAGAAGATCTGGCACCTTAATTTAACAACAGCAGAAGGAAGTTGCCCGCCAGCAGAGAAAAAAGGACAGTCCAGTGCACAGAACATTCAATATTCAGGAAGGGATCTGGAAAAGGAACAGGGGAACCCGTGTGGCACCACAGCTCAAGCATCACATGAAAACTTTACCGTTGCTCCAAGATCCTTTCAAGGTGCTAGCCAGTGAAGCTACACACAATTTCTTTACACCTCCATATCAATCATGCTGCAATGACATCATTATTGGAAACTTGCTCACCATTTTCTTGCGGTGTCTCGACTCAGCTATCAGGCTCACTGCTCTGCCCACTGCATGAGCAAAAGCGCAGAGATCTAGAGTTTCAACAGCCAGCACTTTTGAAGTTTGCAGATTTGGGCAATACAGCTATTTTTAATAATGCTGAAACACTGCCCATGTTCTAACATCTCTTTCAGAATTTTTCAAAAATGACATGTAATAAATGTTACAAAATCAATGTAAACAATTTGTTCATCTGAAAATTTTGCGTTCTTCTTCATAGATTATACAAAGATTTTTTTCAGGCCTTTTTTTTTAATTATAAAGTAACCTTTCAGGGCTATGCACTCTCAAAGCCAAATATGCGAAACACACCTACATAGAAAAGAAGAAGGAAAATATTAGGCCTTGTAACTCGTAAAGAGAAGGAAGAGTCGAGTTCTTTCTTAGGTCAGAAAGGCACCTTCATCAGCCTGGTATTTGTTCTTATCATCCCCAGCAAAGGCAAGCAAGTTCTGTTTTGGATTCCATTCCACACTGTTCATGGCAGCACGACATGGAATCTGGTGAACTGACCGTCCAGTTTGGACATTAGCCTGTCGAAAATAATGGCCAAGTTATTGAAAGGTTAAAGAGATTTTCTATGTAGAAGAGAGTATAATGGCTAAGTTATTGAAAGGTTAGAGAGATTTTCTACGTAGAAGAAGAAAGAGTAGGTTCTCAACAACATACAATATCAATAAACAAATCTTCACTAGCAGAGGCAATGTAGTCTCCTGTGTGATTGAAACTTATTGTCCGAACTGGCCACCTGAGTAGCAAGAAAAAAAAATTAAAAATCAGACACCTGTCCCAGGAAACTCGTATAAATTATAAGATGGACGAAAACATACTTGAGAACTTACTCAAGTTTTGTAAATGTTCGAAGACATAGCATCTCCTTGATGCTCCAGAGGCTGACCAGTGAATCAGCACTTCCAACAGCAAAATATCTTGTGTAATATTGAATCAAAATAAGGTATAATTAGTTCAGATGAAAACCCCCACTCATGGTCTGAGAGCACCTATGAGTGGTCCTTCAACAAAACTCATAATGACATCATAGAATGAGCCCTATGCATGGTCCTTTGACATCATAGTGCCACAAGGTACTAGCTACTTGGAACTACCGCCAAAGAATTTTCCCATTACTAGAAAGGAATGTCACATATTCTTGAGCTGTTTGAGACCTCTTTAAGTCTCATTTAAACCATAGCACAAAGGAAGCATACTTACAGCAAAATATCAAGCTCACCTTCCTAGTGGATCAATTGCAATGCAGTAACAACCAGCAGTGTGAGCATTAAGCGTGTTAACAGCTTGTAGAGATGGATAAGCTAAGACTTCCACAGTTCCTATATGACAAACACGAAAACTTTGACACTGAGAAAAGTTCATATTGGAAATTCAAGCCTTTTCTTACTGAATGCCAGCAAAACCAACTCACTAATTTGTACTCACCATTTCCTGTTGTAAGAAAGAACATATCGCCACCTGTGTTCCATGCAATCTCATTTACCTGATGAGGCAAAAGTGTAACAATGGGAACTTGGGGGAGTTCAAAAGTGTTAACAGTATGGAACTCATCACGCTGAATGCCCGAGTAGGAATATGACTCAATGCATTGAGCAACTAATTACTTTTTTTTAACAGGTAAACTCTTTGCAACTAATTCCAGAAACAAGAGGCTGGTTACATGCATGGTCAAGAATACGGATGAAACGAATAGATATGAAGAGCTTTAGCAAATTAGAGTTAAAGACTTGTCCTGAGAAGCAGAAGCATTCACCCATACTTCAAGAGCATCTCTAAGTTTAAGAGGAAATGGTTATTTACTCATACCACAAGAAAATCAAGTTCGGAGAGAAATACATGCATCACACATGATTTTTCTGCATTAACAAGTAATTGTCTCTACACCCTTGGAGGGGAAGAAAAGATCAAGCCCAAGAGGAAGAACTGATGTTCTGTGATTTCAAGTCCTTTTTCAGAATGTCCAACAGATCCCTACTTCGACTATTAGTTACACACAGCAAATAAAGGTCAAAACTTGCAGCAACACATCTGAGAAACTTGATTCACATTGAAACACTTGCAACACAAAAGCAAGGGCCAGCAGTAAGAGAAAGAGACGGACCAAATGCAGTAGGCTTAAACCCAGTACAGCACAAGTCAAGTTTACATAACTTTTGATAACCTACTATATGGGCTTATGAATCACCGTAAACTTAGCTGGGGAAGCGACTACCTCATAATTAAATTTGCGCTTATGAATAGGCTTAAACTTGCGAACATCCAATATTGTTAGCTCATCATCCTGCACCATAAAATAACTGAATAAGAATATGCACCGAATTAATTTCCATGATAGGCAGATAGTAGGGAACTCCACAGAATATCACCAATAAAACTCACCATCATAAATATGAATGATAGAAAATACATGCAATAGAAAGAGATGAAGCTAAGATACATATCTGTTTTGTGTCTGCACTCATTTTGACTACATACATATCTATAAGCAGCTAAGATAATAGAAGATAGAAGTGCTGATTTTAGGAACTAATAAATGATAGAAATAATGAGTACCCTGTTCCCAACAGCTATATGTGTCCCATCAGGCTTGTAAGTGATATTGATATTTTCCCCACTGAGTTCAACTTGCTGTGAGCATTTCCCACCTGCCAATTGGAGACCAAATGTTTTAGCATCTGCAACACCCTGACCAATAATAAAAAAATAGGAATATCTTTAACTTCCTGGCAATTGACATGAAACTAGGCTGTGAAAGTGTACGTAGAGTTTTTTATTAGTAGTTATAAAGAAGAAAGTGCATGTTGAGTTACTTGACTCATACCCACCCCCAATTCCAACCCCCCGGGTTCCACTTTACATGACATGTTTCTAAGCAGTCAAATAACCTTTTCTTTGACCAAAAATATTTTCATATTAAAAGGTGTAATTTATAGTATTCTTTTTTCCAGTTTCTAACTATATAAGATTGTTCTAGACATTAGAAACTGATGTTAGAATTGAGACCGGAAATTTTAACAGGTTTGACCCACTTACTCTAGACCGCTCCAATTATTTTCGAAACAGGAGTAATATTGTTCTTGGAATGATTACTTTATGGGAATAAATATAGTGGAAGTCCTCAAGTAACCAATAGACATTGGCTCTTATAGCATTACATTCTTTAAATTCCAACTCATTATTTCATACAGTACTTTGGCAGCTTATTGCTGGTGCAAAATAACTTAAACTTACTACGGGCATCCCATAATCGAACTGTCTTGTCACCAGATGCTGTAGCTATCAATTCTGCATGTTTTGGATCCCAACATAACTGGTCCACACTGTCGGTGTGACCCTTTAATTCAACATCTTTTACCTTTCCCTGCAAAAGAGCTATCAGAGACTTGGAGTGTATCCAGACATAAGTGGTTTCATACTCCACCTCTCAAGAATGAGAAAAGACTAGAATATTGAAAACATAGATAGGGCGCAATCATTTTAGGGTAGTCTTATGGTGGCAAGCTATTAATGGTCCAGGTTTTTGCAAGCAAAGCCAAAATATACTACATTCTTCATGCAAGTTCCAAAGTTGAGGAACTTGGGATCTGTGACTATGAAACAAGATAAAAGTACATTTATAGCGTTGATACAGAGCAACAAAAGCAAAATATCCTTCAATCTTCATGCAAATTCCAAAGTTGAGGAACTTAGGATTTGCGACTATGAAACAAGATAAAAGTACGCTTATAGTCTTGATACAGAGAAATGACACATGATATAGAGTTATGGAGCACTCGATCCACTAACAAAGTAAAAATTTATCTGGTCCTGCAAAGACACTTCAGAAACCCCCCCCCCCCCCCCCCCAAATCCTCTTGTGAAGAACAAGCCTCCCATTTGCAAGTGGCCATGACAAATCCATCTTTTTTTTCTATGACCAAGTTAAAGATTTAATTGATAATAACAAGGCCATCTTGGTCATATAAATGGAGTATACCACAAAAGGAGAAACCTATAAAATATGGTTCTCCAAAAGACACCTCAATCCTCTATACAAACTGAAATTACACCAAAAGAAAATAAGGGATCGGAGACTACTCCTCAATTGAGCAAAGCTAACTCTCCAGTTCTCCATCCTTTCAAAAGCTCTCCTATTTCTCTCTTTCCAAATGACCCACACTACTGCAAGAGTAGTAACATTCCACACCTTGTGTCTTCTTATCCTAACTCCACTCTTCCAACTGAACATCAACTCTTTCACGGACCTTGGGATTGCCCAAGAAATATCAAACCATCTAAGATATCCTACCATAACCTCGAGATGTTTTGCAATGTAGCAAAATATGATCGATGTCCTCTCCTGCCTCCTTACACATGAAACACCAGCTTATGCACACCACCTTTCATTCCCTAAGATTCTCCACCGTCAATATCACCCCTCTAGTAGCTAACCACAAGAAGAAATCACCTTCTTCAGCACCTTAGGTGTCCATACCGAGTCATACGGAAAACTAACTTCCACCCTAGCCAGAAGCTTTCCATAGGACTTAATAGAGAAAACTTTTTTATTCCCCAACTCCCAACTCAAAGCATCAGGTCTATCTACTGGCTTGCATTGCTTATGGAGTAAAACTAGAAATCTTTGAAGCTCGGTCACCTCCCAATTTTGGAAATCCCAGAAGGTCCCACCTCCCTTGTACCCCCCTAATTTGCTGAACAGACAGCTCCATTTGGCCAGAGACCCTATACAACACCGAGAAATCATTCTTTAACACCAAATCTCTACACCACTTTTGACCCCAAAAACTAGTCTCCTCCCATCCCCAACCTTAAAGAAAATGTTTTTATTAAAGGCTTCCCACCCCTTCATTATATTCCTCTACATGCGACACTCGGAAGGTAACCACATTTGTTCTCCATCCCCCTTCCATAACTCCATATTTGTCCGCTCTCACCCCTCCCATAAAGCTTCTTCCTCCATCTCGAATCTCCAAAGCCATTTATCCAAGAGGACTTTGTTAAAAACCTTCAAGTCTTTAGCCCCAAGTCC